TGGGGGGCATAGCCAAGGCCCTCGAAACCTCTAAGTGTGAATCATCTTTTGGAGTCAAGAGATCTACGTGTGCTGTCATGAGACAGAGCCCAAAATAAACATTAGCCACTCCCATTTTCATCAACAAAGTCTGTTGGCAGTGACTCAGATAACACACGCCAGCCAGCATGTGCCCCTCACAGCGCCCCATGCAAATTGCAGCAGGGCCCATGTTGAGGACGTCTGCCTCCTTGGCTCTCCATTCTTGGACCTTTTCAGTTCTTGCCCAAAGACATCTGGAGGCCCTGGTTTCACTTCTTCTTGTTTTTCCAACCCAGCTCAGAACTCCGTTTTCCCAGCCATTCCTCCTGCAATCCAAGATCTTTCCAAATATCGAAACACATATGGCAGGCCACCAGCTCCAGCGTATAATCAAACAGATGAATCACGAGGCAATTTCCTTTGGATTTTTTTAATAGGATATCCACTCCCATCCACTTCCACCTCATTGCTTTGACTGGTCTAGTGTTTATAGAAAAAGAAATGACCGCTTTCAAATATTATGGGTTTTGAGGGGTTTTTTTTAAGACAAATTAAAGCTGATGGCTTAAGCTGAATGCCTCCTTTCCCTGTCCTGCATCCATTTTCTGATACTCACACATGGGCACTTCCTTGCCGTGTCCCCAGAAGGACATCCACCAACATCGTAGGTAAGCTAGACGTTTTCTTCAAGTCAGACACCCACACGGGGTCTCTGGATGACGCTCTCGGGGCCCCTCCTCAGTATTTCTCACCCACTGATTTTCCTTCTAGCCTGGTGGTGAATCCAGAGGCTTAACCCTTGATAGACTAGAAGATGCAGGGCCACCTTGTGAACACTGCCCCGGCAAGCCTCAGAAACTGGGTGAAGTGTAGGAAGGGGGATGCTCAGCGTCCTGGGTGTGCTCTGCAATGCTTTACGCTGCTGACGTCCTCCCGTTTGGGGAACATACATATTGAACTGTGGAGTGAGGTGAGAGTCTGGTTGCCTCACTGATCTGTGAAGCTATCCTGTACTCAGTTCTCCAACATGAGGATACAGGTACTGAAAGCCTCAAGTCCTTGCTTTGCATAAACTTTGCTTCCCATAGCACTTGCCTGGTGCCCCGTGCGTACTTCTCTGCTTCCTTGGGGTTTGGACCACCCAATCACTGAAGGGACACTTGGTCTGCTATGACTGCCCTCCAGAAGTTGTACCTGTAACCCACATCCTTATTCTAGTGATGTCATGTAAGTAGGGCCTTGCCTGTCATACATCTGGCCTGCTCCGCACAGCTTCGGTGTCTCACCCTAAACCCTTCTGTGCTTCTGGCATTTGTGGGGACCTTACTGCTTTGCTAGTACTTCACACATAACTTTCTGCTGCTGTGCACGTGTGGTCTAGGAGTCCTAACAGGCCTGTGAATTCTAAGAGAACCTCATCTGCACTTGAAGGACTCTCCTCTGCATAAACTTGGCCAAGGCTGTGTCATCCTGCTCCTGGCCTGAGGTGAACCTCTCCTTCCGGTTCCAGTCAGCTTCCACAGTCCTTGAGGTGTCCTGAAGCAGCATCAGGGGCACGCCCTGTTTGGGAATATCAGTCACTTGAATTGCCTCCTGAACCAAGTCCACATTTCCCTTCTTGAAACTCAACTTCTCCTCTGCTTATCTGTCCAGTTCAGTCCCTCCTCACTGAATAAAAATTTAAAAAAAAAAAAGGATGGAAGGAAGGAAGGAAGGAAGGAGAGAGAGTGAGAGAAAGAAAGAAAGAAAGAAAGAAAGAAAGAAAGAAAGAAAGAAAGAAAGAAAGAAAGAAAGAAAAGAGGACTTGACTGTTCCTAGGTATGGTGGAGGAGAAAATTTATTATAGATAAATGGAAGAGCGTAGCCAGAGTGGGCTTGGCCAGACTGAGCTTGGCCATGTGGGGAGAGAAGGAGGGGAAGAGAAAAGGAAGAGAGGGAACCAAGGCCAGAAGCCAGGGGGCCAAAGCTACAACAGGGTGGGTAACCAAAATGTCTGAATTATACAGGGAAGAACTTCTGGGGGAAAGGGCAGCCCAGCCCCTGGGCTGGAGAGTTCAGGATTGAAGAAGGGGTATGTCATCCTTACCCTGTAACAGGTAGGGACTGAGGGATGCCCAGAGAACCTGGAGGTCATGTCTGCTTAGGTATGTGAAAATGGGCATCTCAACGGCTTGTCCCGGGTTTGAAAATTAACATCCACCTCTTAGAAGATGAATTCATATGGAAACAAAACACATTCAGGCCTCATGGCATTCTTGGGAGCTGAGTATCATTCCCTCACCTTCCAGATGAATGGAGTGGGGCTCCGTCAACTAAGACCCCTTGTTCTAAATGACCCATGGTGCTTAGTTTTCTTGCATGGCTGGTACTAGCATAAACTTGGTGGCTAAGACATCAGAAATCAGTGCTATTGTGGTTCTAGTTGCTAGAACTTGACTCGCTATCATATGACATGCTCCCTATGAAGTCTTTAGGGGAGAACCTTCCACAGCTTTTGTAGCATTCATGGTTCCAAAGTATCTTCCCTGTGTAACTTCATTGTCCCAACCCGTGTGGGCACCTCTATACTAAGCTCACTCTCATACATTCTCTCTCTCTCTCTCTCTCTCTCTCTCTCTCTGTGTGTGTGTGTGTGTGTGTGTGTGTGTGTGTGTGTGTGTCTGCCTGCCTGCCTGCCTGCCTGGCTGCCGGTCTATCTCTATTTCTGTCTGTCTGTGTGTGTGTGTGTGTTTCTGTCTCTGTCTTCCTCTCCCTCTCCCTTACTCCCATTTCACACAGCTGTTTCTGTCTTCCATATCACACTGCAGCTCTTCTGCAGCCATCTCTCTTCTCCGTCATTCCCACTCCCCACCACTTTGAACCATACCATAACCTTCTTGAAGGCAAGTTGTTTTGGCCCGCCGTGTTCCTTAAGTATGGTTAAATAAGCTTTGTTTATATTTTTATTTGCACTGGGACTGGCCCTATAGCCCAGGTTTGCCTTAAACTTATGCTGCTCCTGCCTCAGTCTCCCAAGTGCTGGGATTATAAAGATGCAGCCCCACACCTGGCTTTAATCAAATAAATTCCTCAGAGCCTGTCTCTTTCCCTGCATTAAACAGATCATGGCTTAGTAAGCAAAACCAAGACTGGGCTAGAAACTAGCCTCCCTTCAATGCCTCACTGCCCTCAAAAGTGTACTTTCAAAGCTCAGTTTGCTTATTCACATCTAATCAAATCATTTTGTGTGATGTTTTCTTCATTTGAGTTTTACCTCAAGGAAAGAAAATACAATCCCTCCCGAGTATAATACTTATCATATTTTGCCTTCCCCCCCCCCTTTGCTAATGATGCCTTCTTTGTTCATTGGGGACAGTCAGATTTACTGCCTATGGGTCCTCTGAGGACAAGGACAATGCCTTAGTCATCATCACATTCCCAGCACCAAGCAGGGCATGGGTGTGTGATGAGGTTGAAGGGAGCGTGAGTGAGGCGAGGGGTCACAGCTCTCCCGGGTGGTGGCCTGGGTCTCATCAAATCCCACAAGGCATTGTTCTTCTGACATTACAGATGGGAAAATGAGTCTGAGAGAGAACAGAGGATGTCACTCTGGGTGTGGGTGGGACCTAGTGTGCCAAAATCCAGGTCCATCTGACTCTAGAACTGTAGCTCCGAACCAAAAGTTCTCTGGAATTGAAGGCTAGCCTGTGGTCTACAGCCTGGGTCAAGATGGGAGCCCTGGTAACAGCACCGACCATATCTGAGGGCTAGGGGGTCCGTCCTCTGCTGTCCATTGGGGGGGAGTGTCTGAAAGAGTCAATAAGGAAAGTTGAGTTTTAAAACAGAGAAAAATTAATATCAAAATGCATATATGTAGTCTGTGTGTGCTACACTTGCAATTTGTAAACATGTATGTTCTAGGCATATATACTAGGCAATGTGTGTTGTATGTGTGTGCAGGTACTGTGAGGAATTCTGTCTCCCTCACAGGGCTACCAAAGACCTGTGAAATTCAAGAAGAAACACCCATGAGAGTCCACTCCATGGAGGAGAAAACTGGAAATGTTCACTCATCGGTCCAGAGGCACACTCTGGCTCAAGTAAGGGTGGAGCCAAGGTTCATTCCAGGCCTGTGCAACCCGACCCTTTTCTATCAGCTCCCTGTGCAATGTTCCCTGAGCAATTCAAAGGCATGAAGTGCACAGACATGAAACCTTTGCCCACTTGGAAAAGGAGGCGGCGAACAAAACACAGCAGCCACCTTTGAAAACTACAGACGAGGTTCTGGAGACCCCACGAGTGTCGCTATCAGGGTGTCTACAACCTCGAGACATTGTGGGGTGAAAGGGAAGGAGGGCATGGGAAGACCCAGCAGAGAGCAGAAGAGGAACAGCAGGGGCTTCTACCCCAGCAAGGCTCACACATTGCCCTTGCAGAGCTGCCCTGTGAGCTATGCCAAGCCGTATTAGCGACAGAGAGGGCAATTTGGTTTAAGCTTTGCCTGGAAGATCGCTAATGCCCACTGCCCTCACCTAACACACACACACACACACACACACACACACACACACACACATTTTTAAATCCCCCCCTAATGCTTTAGTGAAGCCCTAAGTCCCTGGGTCCTCAAAAGACAAAGCAGGGCCCATCTGTTCAGTCAGGAATTTGCCAGACCAAAGTAAAAACCAATCGGTTTTGATTATAGCTCAGCTTTACATGACCCCAAATGCTTCCCAATTCAATCAGCCAAAAATAACTCCTCTTTACTTGAAGCATGATTCCAAAGGAGAGAAGTCGGGGATTCTAAAAAAACAAAAAAAGAAGAAGAAAAAAGCTGAGTCTGACCACCACTAATGATAGGACAAACACTGTCACTGTGTATCTTTTAAGAATACAGCTTGTTCTAAAAAATAGTCATGCTTCTCTTATTTGTGGAGGAAAACAGAATGCCTTCCTTTTCAAAGATTTTATTTATTTTATTATAAGACATATAGGTAAAAACTTGCATATTTTGAAAAAGATAAAAAAGATAATAAAACAGACATTTTTCTCAGTAAGAAATATGTTCATAAATATGCTTTATCAAATGTTAAAATGGTTATTTGCAAAATAATAATAAATAGAACACAGTTGTGGCACACAAGGATCAATCCAAAGGATGGGGCATTTCTCTGCTTTTGGAAAAAAAGAAAAAAAAAACCAGGCTTTTGATTATATTTAAAATGTAATCATTTTGCACTCCAGGTTTTATCAATAGTTGAGATTTTTTCTAATATTTTATGATAGCCTCATGATTTCAAAAACAACAAAACATAAAAGATTATTTGGCTAAGTGGAATTTGGCGAGATCAGTTTCCTCAAAATAAACACTTAATAGGACACGTAAGTAAACAACCCTTTGATCCTGTAAGTGGTCCACACTCCAGCTCCTAAGTCTACAAATCTCTGTGGTCGTTAAACAAAAACTGTTAGTAAGCCCGAGATTCCGGCAAATTCCATTGCTTCTTTTCGATGGAGCGGTATTCGTCACAACTGTATTGAGCTGTTGCCGCAGGAAGATAGGTAGGTGGAGCCCTTCTCCTTCCGATAAATTCCCACCGCTTTCCTAGGCCTCAAGTTCACACCGGACAACCCTGGGCAAAACTTCAGTGATGAAACGCACTCCTGTTCTAGGCGTTCTTCATAAGCTTCAATGTTCTGCTGTCCAAGAAGAGAAAACAAACAAACAAACAAACAAACCTCATGTGAAGGCTGCACATGCCCTTAAATGAGTCTCTGGTGTCCTGCAGCAAGGCAGGCTTTTCCTGTGAATAAATACTGACTCTGGAGAAAGCTCTTTCATTGCCCGTGCATTTGGTCGCCCATGAGGCCAAGCTGTTGTTTTCCCATCCGCAGTAGGGGAAGCCGTGTCTAACAATGCTTATGTATCCAATCTAATATAGATCACTGGTCCCAAAAGCCTTCGACGACGTCCAGCGGGGGGACATCTGGCTGACCGTGGGTTCCTAGAGCACAGAAAGGTCATGGCAGGATTTCGACTTGAGCTTGAAAGCCATGTTCTTGTTGTTTTTGGCCACAATCTTGCCCCAGAAGCGCCTGGCTTTCCTGGGGATGCTCTCCCGTCTCTTCTGGTAGGCCAGCCTCCTCTCGTTCTTCTCCTTGCTGTCCCGGCGCAGGCGGACCTGCCGCACAATGCCCTCGAACAGTTCCTTCACGTTGTGCTGCACGGCCGCGGAGGTTTCGATGAATTTGCAGTCAAACACCACAGCGCAAGCTCTGCCCTCTGCAAAGGAAGAGCGGAGAAGAAAGTCAGAGGGCTCGAAGAGTATGATCCCGGGCAATGCGGCCAAGCCGAAGGATGCCTCTCTAAAACTGCCCTAGGGCTAGCACAGGGTAGTAGGCCGCATTAGAGATAGAAGGACATAGCCTGGCATGGGTACTTCACAGGGTATAAGCAGAAATGGCCCCTGAGTGGATCTCAGGAAGCCAGCTGGATCTGCCTCACCCACACTCACTATCTGAAAGCCCAGCTTCACCAGATGCAGCGCTATTAATTCCAACGGCAAAAGCCGTAGCCTTCACTTACTGCAGGCTTGCTGCATTCAAAAAACAACAAACAAACAAACAAACAACAAACAACAACCCAGGCTGAGCTCTTTCCAAACACTTTTCACCGCTCACAACAGTCTTGGGAAACATACTACTATTCTTATCACGTCCGGGAAGAAGTTGAGTGAAACGTTTTTGAAAAACATGAAGGAACTCATACAGTTGATAGAGACAGGAAACTCAGCCCTGCTTCATGCTCAAGTCTATATGCTCTCTCCTGACTCAGTTTCCTTCACTAAAAACTGTAATTCAAATTCTACTTAGCTCTCCTCTCTTTAAAAAAAAATGATGAGGTCTTTTGAGGGGGAAAAATTATGATTTTATAAATATATAATATACTTATGCCAAACTATTCAAGCTTTTCTAAAACCCTCAATTTCAAATTCTTGACCACATGTCCAATTTTTACACTGGAGAGCTGTGAACACTGTTGTGTCCAAGTAGGCTATTCTCACTAGCTGGAAAAATTGAGCAAGCACTGAAAATGCCATACTTTTTTGTTGTTGTTATGATTGTGCTAAATCTACATTAAGCCAACAGAATCCCGGGGACTCTAAAAAGAATATGGAGGGTGACTCATCAAACAGGAATTACCCTTGAACTAAGGCTGGAGAGTGCGGTGCAGGGGTGGAGCCCAGGACCGCACACCCTCTCACCTGACACAGACACTTCCCGACACCGCACTAAGTCACTTTTGTTGCCAACCAAAATTATGGGGATGTCTTCCGTCTGCCGGGCCCTGCGGAGCTGTATCCTCAGCTCCGACGCCTTCTCGAAGCTCGCCCGGTCTGTGATAGAGTAGACGATCAGGTAGGCGTCCCCCACCTGCATGCAGTGCTCGTGGAGCCATTCGCTCTCCCCCTGGCGAGACAAAAAGACCTTCCATGAACTCAGGCTAGCCTGAAAAACTGAGGTGTCATTCTGCAAAGAGACCATACGTCTATTCCAACTAAGACAAAGTAAGAAAACTGCTTCCAACATGCCAAAATACATTGGTCTTATAAGCTATGTAGAGATGCAAAGAAAGGCAGCCTGTGTTGTTTTTGTTGAAAAAAAAAATACTTTGATAAACAGTATTTCCAATTTCAATCTAACCTGTCAAAAACTGGCCTTTTCTGACTCCCTAAAACACTTTCTTTTGTTTTCCCCAAAGGGCAGCATTAAGAATCTTTTTTGTGCTAACAGGAGGGTTCTCAATTAACAAAAAAAAAAAAAAAAAAAAAAAAAAGATCCTGCCTATATGCTGGGAGGCTCCAAGCCTGTCCAAACCATGCTGGAATCCAGGGTGGAGAAGGCCAACTTCCCAGGTGGCTCTGTGTCACTGAAAACAAGTGGCCATGCTTGTTGGAACTTTCCCTAAAACAAATGTGCTTCCGGTGGTTTTTAATAGAACTCAGGGCAAACCACTGCAATTTGTTTGTTCTTTGAGGCTCATCTGTGAACAGCCTGTTCCCCAGCACAGACTCGCTCTTCAGAAGTCAATGCTTTTAATCAAGGAAAGGAGCCCTCCTTGTCTGGAACATCCACGGCGTAGGGCAAGGTCACGCTGGCACCAGGCAAGCCCTAAAACAGTACACTGACAGCCACAGGCTCTGCATACCTTATTTTCCCACATGTCCAGGAGGATAATCGTTGCACTCTCTCCATCAACAACCAGGGTGCGCTCATACGTGTCTTCTGGAAAAGAAAGCACACGGCCGTCAGAGTCAGGTGAGTGAGAAATAACTGGGCATAAGAGGTTCCTGTCACATTCACACTCGAAAGTATACTCTATGGAGGCTGAGGACGCAGCTCAGTCAGAAAGTGCTCACTGTTCAAGCACAGGAGGCCGAGTTTGAGTCCTCAGGGATCCATGTGAAAAGCAAAGCATGGTCGGCAAGCACTTGGAACCCTTGCCTTGGTTCCTAGGGTCACTGGCCAGCCAGCCTAGCCAGCTCGGCTAGCTCCCAACCCAGAGTCTCTGCCTCCCAAAACAAGATGGCCGGCTCTGGAAGAACACCACCACCTGAAGCTGGCTTCTAGCATCCATGTGCACATGCATAGATATCCACACCTACGTGTTCCCACATGAACATGTAGCTCACACACACACACACACACACACACACACTCAAACACACTCAAACACACACACACACACACACTCAAACATACTCAAACACACACACACACACACACACACACACACGCTCACACACACGGCTATTGTTCCCCTTCAACATGTGGCACACAGTCCTCCAGTCCCTCTAAACAGATCTCCTACAGCTCTTGCGGATGGCTAAATCACTTGAATCAAGAGGAAATCATTTTCATCATTCTTGGATCTTTTATGGAGAAAAACCATTTATGAAGCTAAATAGACTCCCTAAGAATGTTTGACTCCAATTCAGTGGATGAAGCTTTGAGAAAGCATTAACTATAAGCTCCATTATGGGCTGTTTTAACTATAGGCCCTATTTCCATAAGCTTTATTATGAGAAATCCATTGTGTGTTTCAGTGGGCGATCCCTAAACCATTCATTCACTGGAAACTTGAGGAACTCTGAGCTCAGCAATGTTTCTCCTCTTTGCAGAAGCAAAAGAAAAATTATTTTGGAACTGTTCCTAATTGGACCATAATTTTCTTTAACCCTCTGCCCCATTTTCTTTGTTTTGTTGAGATGGGTTCTTGAGAGTAGCCCTGGCCAGCCTAGAACTCACTACACAACCAGGCTGGCCTGGAAGTTGCCTCGTGGGTGCTGGGATTACAGGAATGTGCCATCATACCTGACCTCTTCATCTTTAAAAATAGACTAAGTTAGCACACTCCCTATCAGTAACCAGCTTGTGTTTTCATGTTAAGTATTACAACGGCTCTGCTTGGTAATGGAAACTTTCCCTCTGAATCTGAGTCTACATTGGCTGTAGGTGAAGGGCGAGAGCAGCCAAGGGCCAGAGGCCTTCCATCTGGAAAAATCCTGTCGTGGGGCTGGAGGGGTGGGCTGCCCTGGGATTTTGTTGCGAGAGGATTTCCTTGTACAACAATCTCGTGCCTGCTCTGGGGTTTTCTGTTTCTAATTCCATGTTTTGGAAACTATGACTTTCCTAACAATGTCTCTCCTTTTGGCCCTTGTGATGAAATCTCTTCCTTTAGATATCTTTAGGACTTGTGCCTGCTAAGGGGGTGCCCTCTGGGAGTGAGTTTCAAACTGCGCCAGGATTCTGCACTTCCTTCCCTGCTCCGGGCATCTTTGCATTACTTCTTCTCTAGCATGAAACGGCACCAGTTACTACTCTCTGCTGCATCCTCCCAGCGCACCCCGCTACGGACAGAGATGCGCACTTGCTTTGACTTCTGGGCCTCCGCCAGAACCCATAATGTGCCTGCCCCATTGTCTATGCGCAGCGTAAACCCGAGCACTGCACGAAGGAGAAGCAGATTTCACGGCGTTCTGGCAGAGAGCACACCCGAACCTGAACTGAATCTGGGGCTGCCCTTTCTTACTCATGTGGCCAGACAGTGTTCCCTAAGGCTCACCTCTCCAGCCATGGGGACTGAGGCTGCGAACAGAATACAGAGACACAGAGAATGAAATGGAGATGCTGTCAGCAGTGTTTATCCTCTGTGTACTATGTGCCAACACGTTGCTGCTGCTCTCTGCTCTTCCCGTTGGTCCCCGCACCACCCTAGGAGCTATCACCGTAATTATACCGGTGAGGGCACTTCCTGAGGGAGAGAATCTAACTTGGCACTTAGCTGTCTGTGTCACCTGAGGGTGGGGGGAGTCTCAAACCAGTCATTACATTCCAAATCTAGGGCTCTTTGCAGGACACCCTGGGGGTCTAAGTGCCTTCCCATCCTGTTTGGGCTGCCTAAAACCTAGTTGTCTTTCAGGCCAGCTCAGAGCCCTCCTCTTCCACCAAGCCTTTCCTGATTGCCACATCCAGAAGTCTTTTCTCCAAACCGAACCCCTTGTTCTCCTTGTACCTCAAGTTAATTGTCATCTCTCTGCAGGGGCCTTCCCCTCACACTGTTCCTCCCCGAGCGCTGTGCTCCATGTCCAGTGGCTGTTTAGACGTGAGTGAGTCCGTGCATGGATGAATGGGTGGAGGGCCAGATGGAATTAAATATGCACAGAAAATCATGTGACTAGTGCTGTGCGCTGGAATAACACCCACCTCCTATTAGGAGAAGTGATAGGGAGACTATCAGGGATACTCCCCCCTGGTTAAAGCTGGAACACTGACGCTGAGAAAACAGGAAGATAATAAGCCGGCGTGAATGCGGGTACACTTCCAAACCAAATGAATTTCGTGACTCAGATAAGACGTGTAAGGTAGGATGGATCCGCCAATGCAGAGATTCTCGTTACCAGGTGTTCAGCAGCAGTTAAGAAAAGTCCCTTCCTGTCTCTCCAAAGAAGTGTCCTATCTTTTCCAAGTCCAGATGCCAGTCAGCCCTGCCTCTCTATGCCTATTGGATGTTACCCACTGTAGAGATGCCACGCCTTCTAGTGGGCAAACACTTCCAGAAGCCTATTATCTACTAACTTTTCAGCTCCTCCTCTTAAAACAGATAAAACAACCCCTCCCTTATGTCAGCCCTCAGAGTCATTTACTATTACTTTTCCCAGCACTTACGCCACCGTGCTCTAAGTTACAGCCACTGGCACCGAGTCCCTCACCACTCAGCCACCGCTGGGGGCCCGATGCCTGCAAGGGGTCATCCCACATGCTGTGTACTTAGCAGCATTTGGAAGGTTAACCACAGGCTGCAGAGGACAGTGAAAGAATGTCAGGTTTTTGTTTTGTTTTGTTTTGTTTTTTGTTAAACTACAAATGGGTTTAAAAGGAAGCCCTAGGAGTCCCTTAACTCTGTAAGCCTCCATCTCAACATCTGTACGTAGAGATGTTAATACCATGCTGGTTCTGTTCTTGTACACTTTACCAAAAGCACATTAGGAAATGTCCAGCTCAGTGCCAACATACAGCATGGGCCCCAGTAGTAGTAGGATGAGCATAGAAGCATTAGCATACAATTAGAAAGCCCCAGCCTCCACAGGCAGCATTCCCAAAGGGTGACTCTCCATCTTCCCAGTCATCCCTCCCAAGACCCTGTTCACACACAGGCGCAGGAATTCTGTAAGGACTGAGATAAACATCAGCAACCATGAGGCGCTGCATGAAAGCCCCTCCCACTGCAAATGCTCGGTCCGAATTTTAGCTCCCTCCTCTGTTGTCCTCTAGCACCCACCGGCCCATACAAAGAGCAAAGCAACTGCAGGATGTCAGCCCTGTGCCTCCCTTGACCCCTGCTTAGCTGTGGTGCCTGAGAGTCCAGAAGTGGGGAGAGAAATGGATGCCACATCCATCAGTCATGGTTCATGGCCCATCCCTGAGCCGACTCTTGAAGCAGTGAACTCCCTAACACCAAGATAGCTAAGAAGACTAAAAACCATTCCATGAAATGGGCCATTGCAGTGGGGAGTAGGATTTGCACACATTGAACAGAAACAACTCACCACTAAACCATCTTTCCCAGGATTAACCCCCCCACACACCAGTCTGCCGTGGGGTGCACAGCTTACCGCTCCCCAAGCCTGCTGTGAGCGTGTACATTGTGACGGCACATGGGGACAGCCCATGTGAGAAGTGCAAACGCTGAGCAGTCCTCCCTCTGTTCCTACAGCTGTGAAGGAGGCGGGCAGCTGATCTGGGCGTGTGTACTCACGCCGGAGCTCTGGCCGAAGGGTACGGCATGAGAACAAGCGGAGCCGCAATTCCCACCCCAGAATATAAAGCTACTACCTGTTGTTGTGTAATACGTGTTTTTCTAAAAACAGGTCTGAAAATAGCTAAGGATTGAAAAACTAAAAACTTGAAATGAGACCATAGAGAAAATCATCTGGGAAACGCATCAGTGTCTACACAGGGCACTTCACATCGTTTTCATATCTCGGTTTTTAAAGTTTTTATGTCACTTCAAGTAACATTTGACCCCCTTACCCCTGCACATGCTTCTAATGCTAGTGGAAACAGACTAACTGGTCCACCCTAACAGCTCCCTTCCCCCCAAAAAAATCAGTTTGGTTTTATGCGTAGTCACAGAAAAAGTGTCTGTAGTGATGAGCTACTGGTCCAAAACTGGTCCAGCTCAGCCTTCCTGGACCCCTCGGACTTGACCTTGATGGCTCAGGTCAACAGAGTTGATCCTGTGTAAACATATTTCTGTCTTCCATTTTTTTGTGCTGAGGCTCTGTGCCAGGATTTAGGCCTCTGTCACCCATCTCAGTATCGAAAAGGTGTGTATTTTTTCTCCTAATTCTGAAGATACGTTTTGTTTTAATTTTGTTTTTTGAGACAGAGTTACATAGCCCAGGCTAGCCTCAAACTCTCTGTGGAGCTGAAGATGACCACGAGTTCCCAGTCTACCTCCCCAGTGCTGGGATTGCGAGCGTGGGCTCCCAGCTCTGCGGGACATTGACCCTTGCCCTTGTTCTTGCTCTTTTGGCTTCAGTGTATAGAGCTGGGCTACCTACCTCCCAAGACCTCACAGTCGCTGTCCATGCTGTCATGTACACCGGCAAAGATGTTGGCCAGGGTGGACTTGCCCACCCCTTGCTCTCCTATAAGCACTACTCGGTAGTAGGTGTTTCCAGACTCAGAGGAGATGACGGAGTCTGTGGAGTCAGAGGACCAGCTCCGCCGGCAGGGGTCTTCAGGGGCCGTAGACTGGCGGTTGTGGAGGCCGCAGGGGTGGGGATCCTTCTGGACCATCAGGTGCCTGCCATCAGCAGGAATGCTCCAGCGCTGCTGTGGCTGCATGCCCACGGTGCCCTGGCGCATGGTGACATTATTCAGAGTCATCGTGGGGTCCTAGGAACCAAAGCGGTCAAGAGGCCAATATTAGTAAGAATGAGCTAGGCCCAAGGGAGCTCATTTCACGGGTAGGAATAAGCATTCTTGATAGAAGGAATACCCAGGGAACTGTCCCCAAGCCCCAGCAAGCAAAATTTTAAACACACACACACACACTAGCTTCTCAAGCAGGCTATCATGTGCAATACCAGAACTGTCACCCACTGCCCGGAAGCTCCCTCCATCCTTAAAGAAGCTTCGAAACTCCCACTGGGAGTTGGCACCGAGGCAGCTGGGAGAAGCCCATTGCCTCCAGAAATGGCTTTACCACCAGCAACAAGTCAGTGCCGCTGGGGACCAGCTGGCCAGGTTGGCGGCTCTTGTCTAAACATGGCTCTTAATTGCACCAGCATCCTGCAGTCGTTTGAGCCTCCGCGGCAAACACGTGCCAATGACATCACTCCCCTGGCTGGACCGGACAAGGCACTTTGGGGGAACTTCCATGTTTAGTAAAGTGCCCCCGATGCCCTCCAGCTGCCCGAAGGGACCGTTGTTTGGGGAGTGGGGCGGTTTCTGGTTGAGGTTTATGCCTCAGCTGCACCCTCTCGCCCACGGACACCGTTTAGCCTATCAGCCCTGAGCCTGGTCCTTCCGACAGGGAAAAAGGACCTGCCCACATTCGGGCGCATCAAACTTGTGCAAACGGTGCTTCATCCTGAAGGAACCTCGTCCGCCCCAAGAGTCAGTTAACTTCTTGAGGCGAATCAGAAGGTCAGAGACTCGGCGAAAAGATACTCGACAACTTCCTACAACTTTCTCCTTGCAAAACCGCCTCTCCTGACGGGGGGGTCTGAGCCTGCCAAGACTGCCCGAGCATCCACCGTTAACACACACACACACACACACACACACACACACACACACACACACACACACACACACACCATCAATGCCCCTAGCCAGAACCAGCCGGCTGCTTTCTAAGTCCTAAAAAACAGCCCCTGGCTGAGCAGCAGACTCGCGCTCAGACCTTGAGCCTAATTTGTAAGGTGACACCCGTCGGGAACGGACCGAAGGACACTCCCCCCCCATCAGAAGGGCATCCTCTGCGCCTGAACTTCTCCCCCCACCCCCTCGCCGAACCCTCGGCGCAGAGCTCACGGTCCGGGGGCTCCCTTCCCAACTTGGAAAGTTCGCCCCCTCCGCCTGGGCTCCCACCGGGACTGCCTCCGCGACGCCCCCTTACCCGGCCGCTCCCGGCCGCGGGGTGCCGTCGGTCCGCGCGGCGCCCGCCGCCCGCTGCTGCAGTGCCCGCCGCCCGCGCTGCCCGCGCTGCCCGCTCCGCAGCCCGAGGCCGTGTGCTGCCCGCTGGCGGTGCCCGCCGCCGTTTATAGCGCGCCCGGCCGCCCCGCGACAGGGCTTTTCCGTGACGTCAGCGCTCCCGCCGGGAGGGGGCAGCTCTGCAGCAAACTCCGAGTTGCAGCCACTTGGCTACGGCAGTTACTCGCGGTCACGTGACGCCCCTCGCCCCTGGGGGGGGGGGGGTAAAAAAAATGACAGTTCGATTGTTGGCCTCCTTGATTTTGTCTTATTTTCTTTTTACCAGGCGGACACTGGAAAAATACGCTGAGTGCTACTTAATCGCCCTTCCCAGCAGAGCACTTGTGAGCTGTCGGGATAAAGGATGGGGAAAGCAGCAGGCCTGAGTGGCGAGGCCAGCTTTGCCAAGAAAACAGATCCGTGTGCGTGAGCTGGACTTCGCTGGCCTTCAGGATGGGGCTTCAGGCGCTCTGGGTGGGCAGGCCAGTTTTACAGCATGCTTTGAGAAGCAATCGGGCTCTTCCTGTCACCTTCTCTCTGAACTGGGGAGAAGGGGAGCCCCAGACTGCCTTGTTGCCCTCTTCTGGCGGAGCTCCAAAGAGAAGGGGCAGGAGGAAAGGGTCGGGGAGACCTTGAAAAGGGCGGTTTGCCTCCAAGCAGCTAAGCACTGCTGTCCTCCTGTTTCTGGCCACGAGGTTGAAGCTCCTTAATCAGAAATTTAATCACATCCCCAGTCGTCGCATCTCAGAACTGCTTAGCAGGGCTTTGGAACCGTGGCCTGGAGCCAGGGCTTCCTAGCCCTGGGGACATAAGCAGGCCCAGTCCCCTGAGACAGTCCTGGTATGTGAAGGACACAGGACCACTACTCCTGCATTTGCTCAGATTTGCGAAGGCCCCGATGGGCCTGGAGAACCTTGCCCCCTACTGCAGCTGCGGACTGAAAACAACAGGCACTGCCAGAGAGGCTGCTGAAGGTCAGGGTTCAGGGGAGGGGCAGCGTCCAGAGCCTAGTTCGAGTAACTCTTAAACTGCACCACTAAGTGACCTCTTCCCCAGGACATGGGTATTTCCCGGGGACAATGAGCACTCCCCACACGCTGTGTTTAAAGTCCCTGCTAGCCTTTCCAGCACATCCATCTGTGTCTCCAGCCAGCACCTGCTCTGGGTTGGCTGGTGGCTCCTCGGGAAGCAGCCAGCAGCACCCGTGGCCATTGGAGTGCCTGGACCAGCCCTGTGGTTCCAATGGATTCCCAGGTTTCTTGAAGGCATCTACTGTGACTTGGGAATTATCCAAGTGACCGGCTGCTGAGGCCTGTCAGAAACCACGCTGGCAAAGGTAGAATCCACTAAGTAATTAGTGCTTTCGTCTCAGGAGTGGAGTCCCAATCTTAGTTATGCACAAGCTAAGAACCAGAGGGATGAAGGCCACTCGGGCAGGAGATGGTCAAGGTGAAATTCTGGGTACCATAATGGTCTGGATACTGCTCTTCACCCACCAGGTTTCCCTCAGTGTTAACCAGGAAGGAAGAAACACAGACGCATAAAGACAAAGAGGGAAAGGGACTGGGGCAGGGGAGAAAGGGAGAAACAAAGATGGCTGGTGACAGAAAGGGAGATGAGATTGGGGAGGAGGAAGGCAATGGGGAAGGGGAGCCACAACAGGGGACTGTGAATATGTCTTTGGGGAAAAGCATATTCGAGCAGATATACTGAGAATTACCCATGTTTCCTCCCCAGGTCTCGTACTCTGTTGACTATTCTCAAAAGAAACACCATATGGTAAAACTATTGTGTGGAGTTTGTAAGCCTATCACACAGTCAATTAATTCTACTTCTTCACATTAGTAAGGACCTCATATTGGGGGCTGGTGTGATGGCTCAGTGGTTAAGAGTGATTGTAGCTCTTCCAGAGGACCTGAGCGCCCTTCCCAGCTGCCACATCAGATGGCCTCCAGCTGCCTGTCACTCCAGAGCCTGAGGAGCTGATGCTGTCCTCTGTTCTCTGAAGGCATCAGCCCTCACATACACTCCGAGCAAGCATGAGGACCTGTGTTCAGATCCTCAACATCCACATAAAAGCCACACATCAGGGCACACACCCATAATCCCAGTGCTGGAGGGTGGGACAGGGACAGGCAGGGACCAGGGCCAGCCTGTTAGGATATACTTAAAAATGCCTCAACCTCAACAGATCTAGTAAGAGATTTATTGTACTGGGGTGGGAGAGAGGGAGAGATAGAGAGATAGAGAGAGACAGTGGGAGAGCATAGGAGAAGAGAAAGAGGGAGGTGATGGGGGTTCGAGAGAGAAAGCCAGAGAGGAGGAAGGGGAGAGAAACGGAGGCAGAGAGAGAGGGTGGGAATGGAGCACCTGGCCTAGGTGATGGTGTAGGACATTGGCAGGACCCTAAAGGTCCCTCAGGGCAGGCCAGTTGAATTGCCTTCACCACAACATAACACAGCCAGCCTGGGTGAATCGGTGAATTACAGGTCAGGGAAAGACATTGTTTTCTAAAGTAAGGTGGTGAGCAATAGAGGAAGCATCTAACTCTGTCCTGCACAGGCAAGCACATCCACACATACACACACAAACAATCACACAAACATACACAATTACGAACAGTCTCACAATCACACACATACACAACACGGACACACAGGAGAGCCTCATATTAATAACTGTGTGTTCTGGCAATAGCTACTGTGAACTCTTCCACCGACATAAGCAAAACACTCCCCAAAAAGAGTGTTGCAAAGATGGAGGAGGGAGGAGGCACAGTGATGATGTATTTGAAGAAAAAGATCTGCTTTTTTAAAATTTCCGGCCCCACAAGAAGCCAGATGTGGACAAGTGAGAAAATACTATCATAAGACAGGTTCCAACTGAATGACAGTTATGTGAAAATTTAGAGAATAAAAAAAAAAAAAAATACAGTTGCACCTCACCAAAAGTACATTTGAGAGCCAAATCCTATGTATCAGAGTCCCAGCTAGCTTGCTCAGGATTCCAGCTCCTGGGGCCGTCTGAACACGTGAAACTGCACAGAAAAAGGTGGCATCAGGGCGTGTGAGCAAGTGGCAAGCTCTGAGGAGGAGAAACTGGCAGCATCTTGTCGGGTCTTGCTCTGTAACATTTCTGTATTCTCTCTGCCAGCTTCCTTAGGTCCTAGCAAAGTGAGAAGCTTGAATCTAGCAAGACGGAAGAAATTCAGACAAGAAATCACCTTTCTAAGCTGTACACAGATAGCCTCTATTAATCCTAGCCACGCCTCCTGCTGTTAGAGAGGCAATGCTGCGGAATGCCCTGGTAACAGTGCTGGGTAGCAGAACTCTCTGGACCCACTCATCACCACTGGTTCATTTCCAGGAGGGGACATGCATCTCTGCTCCACAGTAGCCCAACTCCTCCTCGGAGAAACTAAGCCTTCACAAGAGAATACCTGTTGCAGATGATTGTCCAAAGCCCATGATCTTTCTTCCCCGTTCCCTCGTGAATGACGCTTCTTCTTTTGTGAAGACATGAGCTACAACTCCCCCTGTCTTCCTCGAGCCCAAACGAAGCCCTGAGCAAGACGCTTCACTTTGTGGTCTACCCAGGTCACTTGTGCCTCTGCCATCATGGAGGCTTGGGCAGCAGCTTCCAGTGTTTCAAATGTGGTGAAAGAGGGAGGCTAGAAAGTAGAGGAAGAGCAGAACCTTTGACTCGGGATGTGAATACGGGCATTAGGGTGTGTCTCTCATAATGATAAGCTATGACCTTGAGTATCAGGCCTTGAAAACTAGGAGAAATTTTATGGGTTGGCCCAGGGTTCACACATGCCTGAGACTATGATACAGTTCTAAAACTTGCTCTATTTCAACAGCAATGGAGACATTCATTTACCTTTACATATTTTTCATTTACATCTACCTTTAATACTAAAATAGTGCTACGGCCACCATGCAGGGAAATCCACGCAATGGCAAAATGAACACCATGCAAATGGTCTCCATTCCCCACCATCAGCCAAGAAGATAACACAAATGGGATTTTCTATTCACTGCATTTTAAATGTTGCATTGGTCAGCTGCCTGTTACTGTCATAAAATAGCTAAGGTAATTAACTTACAAAGCCAGCTTGAGGCTGATGGTTCTGGGAGGTTCATAGTCCAAGATGAGGTGGTTCCCTTTTCCTTGGGCGTCTATCAAGGCCCTTGGCGGGAAGGCCCATGGTAAAGCAGCTAACATCAGGAGACAGAATTGACAGATCAGTGTCTCTCCGCCCCCCTTAATGGCCTCCCATCAGGCCTCACCTCCTGAAGAGCCCACCTTCCAATGGCACAAACATGGAGTCCCTTAGGAGCCTTCCTATCTCAGTCACTGGGCCTTCAAAGCATAGCCATTGAATAATTTCACCATCCAAACCGTAGCAATGTCTGCAAGTTAGTACATTTAGCCAAGGTGTACAATCAGTTCCCACAGACTTTAATGTTTAATGTATTTGACTCCAACCAGCTTTTCCCTTTTTTATATTAGCCTCTGCCTCCTAAAGACGTGTGATCCCTGCATGGGCTGAAAGAAAGGGTAGGGGATCTCACATCAAAAAAGCAAGATCAAGCCTAGACCCTGCCTCCCCCTCACAACGCAGAGCCCCAGAGGCCCTGGCTTCTGCTCTTCAGCAAACTGCCTGTGGGAGCTCTTGTTTGCTCCAGAGCAGGCCACCAGCATGGTGGTGACTGTGACTATGACGCAGGAGCCAAGGATTGGAGTTCAGCCACCTGCCCTCAGCTTTGCTGCCTCTGCAGGCTTGCGTTAAAGTAATCCAGCAGAATTCAGGACACATTCAGCCACAGAAGGGCAGGCGGCAAATGTCCTCCAGTTAGATGTTACTGGGAAGTAATTAGCAAGGAGAGTGGTATAGCCATACCACTCTCTTTGTAAACAAACAAGGAGATGGGGACCAAATATCCAGCACACATAAGAGGTCTCCATCAGCCACAAAAATACTCCGGGGAGGAACTGGGTG